CTCCCCACCCCTCCTTACCCACACACCCACATCTCCCACTCCTCCCCCACACCCACATCTCCCCACCCTCCCCACACACACACATCTCCCCACCCCCTCCCTTACACCCACATCTCCCCACACCCCCTCCCCCACATCCCACCCTCCCCACACACCCCACATCTCCTTACCCCTCCCCACACCCCATCTCCCACCCTCCCACACCCACATCTCCCCACCCCTCCCCACACCCACATTTCCCCACCCCCTCCCCACACCCACACATCTCCTTACCCTCCCCCACACACCCACATCTCCCCACCCTCCCCACACACACCCATCTCCTTACCCCTCCCCACACCCACATCTCCTTACCCCCTCCCCACACACCCACATCTCTTACACACCCATCTCCCCCCCTCCCCACACCCACATCTGTCCTTCCCCACACCCACATCTCCCACACACACACATCTCCTTACCCCTCCCCACACCCACATCTCCTTACCCTCCCCACCACCCACATCTCCCTTACCCCTCTCCCACACCCACATCTCCTTACCCCTCCCCACACCACATCACACACCCACATTCCTTACTCCCTCCCCACACCCATCTCTTGCCCCTCCCCACACACCCACATCTCCTTCCCTCCCCCACACCCACATCTCCTTACCCCTCCCCACACACCCACATCTCCTTACCCCTCCCCACACCCACATCTCCTTACCCCTCCCCATACACAAAATCCCCAGGGCCGGAAGAAATCTTCCCTCGAGCTTTGAAAGAGTGTAAGGAACAGATTAGCGGACCTCTCGTAAATTTATTTACAAAATCATTAGACACTGGAGTTGTGCCAGACTTGTGGAAACAGGCAAATGTAGTACAGTACCCATATTAAAAAGGGGAGACAGAGCATCAGCGTCAAATTACCGGCCGATTACTTTGACGTCAGTAGTGGGGAAATTTCTCGAATCAATTATAGCAGATAGCATCCGATCGCATCTAGAGAAAAACAAATTAATCTACGACTCTCAACATGGGTTTACAAAGGGAAAATCTTGTCTAACAAATCTGCTGACGTCTTTTAGGAAAGTCTTCGAGGTAGTAGATAATGAGGAAACTTACGATGTTATTTACTTAGACTTTAGCAAAGCGTTTGACAGAGTACCGCATCAGAGGCTTCTGAGAAAAGTTAAGGCTCATGGTATTCAGGGGAAAGTTTTAAATTGGATAAAATCATGGCTCACCGATAGAACACAGAGGGTCGGCGAAGATGGTGTTAAATCTGAGTGGGGCTGTGTAACCAGTGGGGTTCCCCAGGGGTCAGTACTGGGCACCAAAATAGGGCGACAGTTTAATTCAGGGCAGGATGCAAATGCACTACAGGAGGATTTAAATAAACTGCATGAGTGGTCAGAAAAATGGCAAATGAAATTCAACACCAGCAAGTGCAACGTACTTAATATTGGAAGAACATATAATGGCACTGTATACAGCCTTAACAACATCAACCGAGAGAAGTCGACTTGTGAAAGAGACTTAGGGGTACTTGTAAGCCCGGACCTACGGCCTAGAGAAAAAAGCGTTAATGTTCGAAATAAGACAGAGTATTGGGTTTTATATCTAGAAATGTAAGTAATAAGAGTGCGGAGGTCATATTGCAACTATATCTTTTACGCTCGCCAGGCCGCACCTCGATTATGCTGTTCAGTTCTGGTGCCTTTATTATAGAATGGATATCAATTCACTGGAGTCGGTGCAGCGAAGAATGATGAAAATGATTCCGGGACTTAGAAACCTTCCATATCAAGATAGATTAAAGAAACTAAACTTGCATTCCCTAGAAAGACGAAGAGTGCGGTGAGATATGATAGAAGTATTTAAGTGGGTGAAAGGAATCAATAAAGGAAGTATAGATAAAGTTCTCATAATATCCGAGCAGGATAGGACTCGTAGCAACGGATTTAATATGGATAAGTTTAGGTTTAGGAGGGAGATAGGAAGAAACTGGTTCACAAATAGGGTAGTGGACGAGTGGAACAAGCTTGGCAACTTTGTAGTAAGTGCTGTAATGCTGGAAAGTTTTAAAAGGAGGCTAGATAGATTCATGGATGATGGAGAGTGGTAGTAACTCTCGGCAGGCCAACCGGCCAACCCCTCCCCACACACACATAAACCTCTTGACACTGCTCTCCCACTCCCACAGGTTCACTTGACTGCTCGGGGACGCACCTAGCTATTAAAAAAGATTATTTATACATATAATATAGTGTAAGTAACTGCATATATCAAAGCATTACACAGGTATACGACGGTGTGAATAACGAATATCCTTCAGTAGTAAAGTGTGGGAAGAATGAAGAGCAGTAAGGTCGTAAGCCTCAGGTGATACTTGTGTGATTTGATTTTTTTTTTGGGGGGGGGGGGCCAGGAGAATGTGTGCGCGTGTGTGCTTGCCCCCTCTTTCTTGCCTCACCGTCTCCTCACCCTCACCTCCCACTACCTTCACTGATTAATAGGGCAATTCCACGTGACCATCCTGACGTCAGGTAGGTGAGGCGGATCCCTGTAAGAGAAGCACCGAGGAACCTTGACTTGACTCGTGTCCCCAGGCAGTGAAGGAACCTCCCTCCTCGTGTGGGTTACTGTCAACACCGCCCCTCCCCCCTCGCCTGTTGAAGCCTCCCATAATAACATAACATAACAACAACAAACCTTTTCTTGGCCAACTGACCACGTGCGGCCCTGGCAGACGTACGAGTATATGAGGGAAATAGAGCCATGATTGTCTGAGGGAAATAGAGCCATGATTGTCTGAGGGAAATAGAGCCATGATTGTCTGAGGGAAATAGAGCCATGATTGTCTGAGGGAAATAGAGCCATGATTGTCTGTGGGAAATAGAGCCATGATTATCTGAGGGAAATAGAGCCATGATTGTCTGAGGGAAATAGAGCCATGATTGTCTGTGGGAAATAGAGCCATGATTGTCTGAGGGAAATAGAGCCATGATTGTCTGAGGGAAATAGAGCCATGATTGTCTGAGGGAAATAGAGCCATGATTGTCTGAAATAGTCATGATTGTCTGTGGTCTTGCCATGATTGTCTGAGGGAAATAGAGCCATGATTGTCTGAGGGAAATAGAGCCATGATAAAATCTTGCTCTTAGTATTTGGCGTTTTGATGACAGCAGAAAAATACAACACAAGTTTTCATTACATCAAGAAACTGTCTGTTGAAGTGACTGTCAACCAACTGAGGCGAGTGAGTACATGATGTAGTGTAGTGATTATGATACAACCAAACTATACACGTTACCTGAGAGTCACTTGGCTAACATACACCTTCCACTACACATCGGATTTCTTTTAATTTTTTTTGTAAGTTCCTAAGTTCTTGGCGTTATTTTGCATTTTACGTTTTTGATAATTAATCTTTACCCTTGTGATCTCTACTGCCATGTGTTTGTGGAGGTTAAATGAGATGAATATTTTTAGATAAATTATATTTAAAGATGATTTACCACCCAGGACGTGACCCCCAGAAGGGACCCCCCAGAGGACCTGACGTGACCCCCCCCTTGAGAGGACCTGACGTGACCCCCCTTAGAGGACCTGACGTGACCCCCCCCTTGGACTGAGGACCTGACGTGACCCCCCCCCTTAGAGGACCTGACGTGACCCCCTTAGAGGGACCTGACGTGACCCCCCCTTAGAGGACCTGACGTGACCCCCAGAGGGACCTGATGCCCCCCCCTTGAGGACCTGACGTGACCCCCCCTTAGGGACCTGACGCCCCTTGAGGGACCTGACGACCCCCCCTTAGAGGACCTGACGTGACCCCCCCTTAGAGGACCTGACGACCCCCTTAGACCTGACCCCCCTTAGAGGGACCTGACCCCCCCTTAGAGGGACCTGAGAGGGACCTGACGTGACCCCTTAGAGGGACCTGACGTTAGAGGACCTGACCCCTTGGAGACCTGACCCCCCCCCCTTAGAGGGACCTGACGTGACCCCCCCCTGTGACCCCCCTTAGAGGGACCTGACGTGACCCCCCCTTAGAGGACCTGACGGCCCCCCCCCTTAGAGGACCTGACGTGACCCCCCCCCTTAGAGGACCTGACGTGAGGGACCTGACCCCCCCCTTAGAGGACCTGACGTGACCCCTGACGTGACCCCCCCTTAGAGGGACCTGAGCTGACCCCCCCTTGAGGACCTGACGTGACCCCCCTTAGGGACCTGACAACTGACCCCCCCCCCCTTAGAGGGCTGACCTGACCTGACCCCCCCTTGGGACCCCACGTGACCGGGGACCTGACGTGAGCCCCCCCCTTGAGGGACCTGACGGCCCCCCCTTAGAGGACCTGGCGAAGGGACCTGACCCCCCCCCTGAGAGGACCTGAGACCTGAGACCCCCCCTCTTAGAGGGACCTGACGTGACCCCCTTAGGGGAGGACCTGACCCCCCTTAGAGGACCTGACGTGACCCCCCTTAGGGGACCTGACTGACCCCCCCCACCCTAGAGGACCTGACGTGACCCCCTGAGGACCTGACGTGACCCCCCTGACCTGTGAGAGGGACCTGACGTGACCCTGAGGGACTACCTGACCCCCCCTAGTGAGAGAGGACCTGACGGCCATGAACCTGACGTGACCCCCTCCTGAAGGGACCTGCCAGAGGACCTGACGTGACTAGAGGACCTGACGTGACCCCCCCTGATGACCTGACCCTCTAGGGACCTGACGACTAGAGGACCTGACGTGACCCACCCTAGAGGACCTGACGTGACCCCCCCTAGAGGACCTGACGTGTCTTTGCGTGTTGTGACCACCAGGAAGATAATAACTCGTCATCTCCTAGGGTGTATGATGACTCTTCTCTCTCTTCTTATCCTTTTCTCTTATTCTCTACTTCGCTTCTCTTATTTATTTTTCTCTTTTCTCTCCATCTCCTCATTTCCTCTACATCTCCTCCTCTCTCCCTCTCGTACCTCCTCTCTCACACGTCGTTGTTGTTTACAGTTCGAGCAGCTGGCCTTCACGTGGATGGAGAGGAAGAAGCTCGGAGGGACGTACTCAGCACACCGGGCACAGAGTGAGCGTCATGTGGTCGTCTGCTCCACCAACCTTCAAGCCGACACTATCATGGACTTCCTTAACGAGTTCTACGCCCATCCGCACTTACAGGTCAGGGAGTCTCTTTAGCCACACTTACAGGTCAGGGAGTCTCTTTGGCTATATTTACAGGTCAGGGAGTCTCTTTGGCTATACTTACAGGTCAGGGAGTCTCTTTGGCTATACTTACAGGTCAGGGAGTCTCTTTGGCTATACTTACAGGTCAGGGAGTCTCTTTGGCTATACTTACAGGTCAGGGAGTCTCTTTGGCTATACTTACAGGTCAGGGAGTCTCTTTGGCTATACTTACAAGTCAAGGAGTCTCTTTGGCTATACTTACACTTATTGGTCAGGGAGTCTCTTTGGCCACACTTACAGGTCATGGAGTCTCTTTGGCCACACTTACAATCACAGGTCAGGGAATCTCTTTGGCCACACTTAGAAGTCAGGGAGTTTCTTTGGCTATACTTACACTTATAGGTCAGGGAGTCTCTTCGGCCACACATATACATACAGGTCAGGGAGTTTCTTGACACAGTGTAGAGACAATGGTAGATTAAATACAGTGTAGAGACAATGGTTGATTAAATACAGTGTAGAGACAATGGTTGATTAAATACACTGTAGAGACAATGGTTGATATAAACACAGTATAAAAACAATAACATTATTACACTAGACTACAGCAGCCTATGATTGACCCCGCAGGATTACTTCGTCGTGTTGTTATCGCCGATGGAGTTAGATCCTACGATGAAGATGATCCTACAGGTACCAATGTGGGCATGGCGCGTCATATACATCCAAGGGTCGTGTCTTGGAACGGGGACCTGACACGGGCTAGGATGAGTGAAGCTGAGGCGTGTTTCATCCTCGCTGCCAGACTTCTATGCTGATAAGACCGCCGCTGTGAGTATATCTGATGATTCTATAGTTATTGGCTGATGATGGTGGGGGGTGAATCATTCAAGTAGTTGTATTATTCGCGACATATATTATTTATGGGTGTTTTTATTCATGTGATTTACTGTATATTATTCATGTGATTTATATTATTCATGAGGTTTATATTATTCATGAGGTTTGTGTTATTCATGGTTTAAGTTATTCATGTGATTTATATTATTCATGAGAGTTGTGTTATTCATGAGGTTTGTGTTATACAGTACATACATGAGTTGCATTATCCAGGACAGTTGTAACGTTCATAACACTTATACTACAGTACCAGCTGCATGGCCTGTTACTATATTTTCACCACCTAGCCTGCTACCCATCACTAACACCACCCACATCACTAAACTCCACAACTCTCTCTGGGTTAGATTTTAAGTGCACACACACACACACACACACACAAGGGTCGTCCCACCACCACCACCTCCTCATATGATTCTCCGCCCTCCCCAGGGACAGGACACACCATCCCAAGGTCGTGGAAGGACTTCTTGCTCCTAACGTGCCCAGTACATTACAGGTGTTCCGGCCGGAGAACAAGCTGCACGTGAAGTTCGCCGAGCACGTAGTTTGTGAGGACGAGTTTAAGTACGCCTTGCTGGCCAACAACTGCATGAGTCCAGGCATCTCTACCCTGGTGACACTGCTCCTACACCTCCGCGGCCAGTGAGTATTATCCCTGTTTTCCTGTTCTATATCTTACTACACACCTGCCCTACACCTCCCATTGATAAAGAGTACTGGCCACACCTGTTCTGCACCTTCCATAGCTAAAGAGTAGTAGCCACACCTGCCTAACACCTTTCACTAGTAAACACTGTACTGACCACACCTGTTCAACACCTCCTGTAGTCACTATATATGGAAAAAAAATTATCCTGAAAACCTCCCACTGTAATATACCGTCTTACTGACCAGGTAGCTCAGGTAAGAAAATGTTGATACTTGACCTAGGAGACAGTGACCCCTGACCTTGGAGACAATGACCTCTTACCTAGGAGACAGTGACCCCCTCACCTTGGAAACAATGACCCCCTGACCTAGGAAACAATGACCCCCTTACCTAGGCTTGTAGGCCAACGTACCGTAAAGGAAATGATCTGACCAAATCTAAATATCTTTCTGCGATAAATTAGATCGGTGTCATAAACCAAAGAAATGCCTGGAAAAAAGAGATAAACAAAAGTACTCTAACTAACGAGGAAGAAAACACAGAAAAACAACTTATGGGAGATGAACAGGTAATTAATTAGGATTATACAGTACAGGCATCCTTTAGGTGTGTCTTCCCTTACCAAGGAACATGACTCCTCTTGTTAGCTGGAAGAGACCTAAACCTATCCCAGCAGCGTCTCCCTTAATCAGATGAACTGCTGGCCCGAGACGTGAACCTGATTTTTGGTTGGCTTAGGTTAGGTTGGGTTGGCTTAGGTTAGGGTGGGTTGGGTTGGGATGGGTTAGGTTAGGTTGGAGGTTAGGTTAGGTTAGGTTGGGTTGGCTTAGGTTAGGGTGGGTGTGACTCAGACTCTTAGAATTACTTAATGTTGATGCACCACCGCCATTATACGAAGGGGCGGCGTGTAGTTGTACTCAGGCACTAACTGTCCGCTTATGTTGTGGCCTTCACCTCGACACCACCACCATCCTCCTCCTCTATGGTCTTCCCCTCCATCCATCCGTCCCTCTCCTCCTTTTATCAACTTAGGAGAGTAGTTCGTTCCCTCGCAGCCAGACATATCTCAAATATTCCAAACTTTGTTGTTTCACTTTTGTTATATCGTCCATGATATTCGTCTTCCTCCTCGTGTCTTCATTTCAGATTCTGTTTAGTCTCGACTACCTGGGAGCTTCATTACACAGTCTGTTGAAACATCCTCTCAGTTATCTTACCTGGTTCTGTGTGTCCTAGTTTACCGAGTTGTTGATTACTTCGATACTTGGAGGACTTATGATATATTGTAGATGTTCTTGTCAATGGTTACCTCTCTCACTGTAATTGTAGAGTGTTGTCCTGTGCTCTGGATCTTCGCAGTTCCCGCCAGATAAATGCTTTGGTTACATCTGATTTAACACAGTTTTATTTATGTAAAATTTTAATGGTGTTCTGGTTCTGTATCAATACTTTTAACTGCCGTTTTTAATGTAGTGATTTTCAGTGCACCAATTTCCACTCTCATTTGTCACTCAAGTTGTTTTCCATGGTGGACTTTTGGCTAAGTTTAGATGTGTTAAATAATGTTCTCCTAATTTTGGTTCTAATTTCCTGGTCTTATAATCTGTTTGCTATAATAACTTATACTCGTATGTAGAACATTGTTGGACACTATGCTTCCTTGTTTTACTCCCATGGCTGCGGGAACCTCTCGGCTATAGTTCTCTGACGCCATCGACAAAGTTTACACAACCATTGTACTGTACTGGTTTCTTGTGGTACTTATACTACTGTCGAGTGCTCTTAGTACCATATTCCTTCTCCTTTACACTGTCTTGAACTCTATTTTGAAAAATATGAATACTGTACAAAGCTGTTTTTCATATTACTGTTGTGTCTGCCAGTCTAGCCTCAGCGAGTCTGTTTTCCCGTTATGTTTGTTCTCTTAAACTCTACTTATGCTCTACCATGGTATATCTTTCTTACCTTGTTTAGTATGACTTTCCCAGCATTGAGGGTTGATGACTAGTAATTGTTGGTTCTGTTTGTTCACTGTTTTTAATATTGGGTAAATGACAACTTACTTCCTTCCCCTGTTTGTCGTCTCTCGTTGTGGTAGTTTTAGGTCATCTTCACTAAGGTCTTTGAAGTCGTCACCTGGTGATTTCTTCTTGTGTGAGTGATTCCCCGTTCTTCATTGTGTTACGCCGCCTCTTGTTTCTACGGAGTATACAGTACCCTGTATCCTCCTCTTCCTCCTCCTGTCTCGTCAGATCGTGTTTCTCCGGGCGGTTTAACCTGAGTCATTATAAAGTCCATCATAATAATGTCTTGTCTAACCTTTATCTGGTGTTCGTCAGTTTTCGAGATAATATTTAGTTCATGGTTAAATACTCTTATTGACCGGTTTATACCCGACCCGGCCGGTTGACAAAGCCCCTTTAAGAGTTCCCATATAATCTATCATGGAGAACCATAACAAGCTTGTCTCTAACGTAGATCTTGTTCAGGGACGTCTTCCTCATTGGGCAGTCACCCGGCGAGCTGCACCAGGTGTTGCCATTCCTGATTCACTCCACATATCGAATCAGATCCAGGTCCCGACACCTGGCAACAAAAACATCGGTAACTCGCTCGTTATGAAACCAGGCGGGTTTTTTTCTAACATATCCGGCGTTAGTAATCACCACCTCGCTGATACACTAACGATGCTGCTGGCTGGGTCATTAACACAGTGCAGGAGAGGAGCTGGAGGACGTCTTCAAGCGGGTGAAGGGTGGATGAGAGACTGAATTGCGGCTGAAATCCAATATGGCTGTTGCCCAGAACAGATGAATAGCAATAATGCAGAAGGTACACGCTAAATTGACGTCACACGCTTGGTCACATTCATGCTTTTAATGGTGAACTATACTGTAGCTTCCCACGATTGGGCCACAGTCACACCTGAGAGTATAACAATAATTCCTTACTACAGTAATGGTCCAGCTGCCCGCCCCCAACCCCTGCCGCCCCCAACCCCTGCCCGCCCCCAACCCCTGCCCGCCCCAACCCTGCCCGCCCCCAACCCCTGCCTGCCCCCAACCCCTGCCGCCCCCAACCCTGCCCGCCCCCCAACCTGCCCGCCCCCAACCCCTGCCCGCCCCCAACCCCCTGCCCGCCCCCAACCTCCCCCGCCCCCCAACCCCTGCCCTTTAACCCCTGCCCGCCCCCAACCCTGCCCGTCGCCCCCAACCCCCTGCCGCCCCTCCCCCCTCACCCCGAACACTCCCTCCCCAGCACCCCCCTCAACACCCGCCCCTCCCCCCAACACCGCCCTCCCCAACACCCCTTGCCTCCCCAACACCCGCCCCTCCCCCAACACCCCGTCCCTCCCCCAACTTGCCTCCCCCAGCACCTGCCCTCCAACACCTGCCTCCCCCTCACCGCCTGCCCCCCAACACCTGCTCCTCCCCCAACACCTGCCTCCCCAACACCTGCCCTCCCCCCAACACGGCCCTCCCCCCCAACACCCTTCCTCCCCAACACCCGTTCCTCCCCCAACACCCGCCCTCCCCCAACACCTGCCCCTCTA